AGGATCAGAAGATTTTTTAAAACTTACAAATGTGTCTAAAGTTAGTTCCTACCTTCACCTGGGTAGAACCAAAAACAGGCAGGCACAGAGGTATTTTTGGCAGGCAGCTAGAGTCACAGTTATCTCTACTTCATGTGATTTATAGGGTGTTGGTGTCTTGTGTCTTGGGTTTTTGGTCTGGGAGGATTCATTAATCCAGACAGAGCTGCAAGTCCTTAAAAATATATTTAGCCACTCACTAATAGACTAGTGATTAGAAGATTCCTAGATTCTAATGCTTTTCTTTTTATGACTCCACATTGGAAATAACACAAGAGCTAATTTGAAAATGAAGTGATCCAAGTGTTTATTGGCTCAAGTAAGATAGGAAAGGTAACTTTGCTAACTTCTAAATATTATCACACTGTGAAATATGGTGGAAGAATAACAGTTCTTTAAGACAGTAATGCAAGTTGCCTGAGATTGTAGAGTCCCCTTCCCTCCCCAGCCCCCTAAAGTAAGCCCTGAGGTGATGGCCACTCTGCATTGTTTCTATTTGCAGCACCTGTGGCCTGTCAGGTCTAGATGGCCTCAGTAAAGTGTGTTGTAGTGAGAGAAGGTGGCAGGGTCCTTGGAGAATTTTTAGCTTTGCATTATTTTTATTTTTAGCATTTTTAAAAGAATTATTTTAGAGTGAGAGAGTGTGCAAGCGGGGAGAAGGGCTGAGGGAGGAGAATCCCAAGTGGACCTCACACTCAGCATGGAGCCTGACATAGGGCTCCATCTCATGACACTGAGATCATGACCTGAGCTGAAACCAATAGTTGGTCACTTAACTGACTGAGCCACCCACCCAGGCTCCCCTAAAGTTTTGCAAGGAAAGAATAGAACTTGCGAGGTTGAGGATAAAAGAGAAGGGAGGGACACCTGGGTGACTCAGTGGGTTAAGCGGCTGCCTTCGGCTCAAGTCATGATTCCCGGGTCCTGGGATCAAGTCCCGCGTCGAGCTCCCTGCTCAGCGGGAAGTCTGCTTCCCCCACTCCCTCTGCTTGTTCTCTCTCAAATAAAATCTTGAGAGAGAGAGAAAGGATATTTAACTGAATGCAGCCCATGTAGATAGAAGTGAGGGCTCTGTGGGGACCCAGAGAACTGGTGAGAGGGTTTACTCTGGATCCACTGGGATGAGAGGAAAGGAAACCAAGATGAGTGGATGCAGATGGTATTTTTAATAGCTCCAACAGGAAGTCGAACAAATGCTATTGCTGATCTATTTTGTATTAGGAGGTAAGATGGTATATTAAGAGCAGGAAGGGCGAGGGGTGGGAAAGATGTCTCCAGGAAAGGGGTAAAGATTGAACCCCCTTCATTCCACTCATGATGCAGGAGGATATCTAGGCTGCACGCAGACTTAGCTGAGATTGGAGGTCATGAGTCTGTAGAGGATCAAGTGTCACCTTTTTGAGTTCTTCCTGAGTCCATATCGAAAATGTGGATGGCCAGGAAGATTTGCCAAGTGCGTACAAGGAAAGGATGATGAGGTAAAGGAATAGGAGGCACTAGCAGTGAGTGGCTAAAGGGTCGGCTGGTGGGGTTAGGCTGGGTAGGAGAGGAAGCCGACTGGGAGAAACGCAAGTGTATGTCAGGTAAAGGAAGAGTCAAAAATTAAGTTAAGGATAAGAGACTAGTCCGGGTGTAGAATGTTGAAGATAGGGACGCCTGGGTGGCTCAGTCGGTTAAGCATCTGCCTTCGGCTCAGGTCATGATCCCGGGGTCCTGGGATGGAGCCCCGCGTTGGGCTCCTTGCTCAGCCGACAGTCTGCTTCTCCCTCTGTCACTCCCCCGGCTTGTGCTCTCTCTCTCTCTCTCTCTGTCAAATAAATAAGTAAGTAAGTAAGTAAGTAAATAAATAAATAAATAAATAAATAAAATCCTAAAAAAAAAAGTTGAAGATAGATTATAGAACTGTGATAAAGACAGAAGGGGCTCTGGGCAGTGCTGTTTTAGGGTGCAGCTGGGAACAAGGGAGACAGAAGTGAAGCAGTGGGGATGGTTCCTGGAGCTGAGTCCGGCTGACTCTCACAGCAGTCATGCAGACTCCCAGCTCCCAGGCCGCTGCCCAGCCCCGCTCTTCTTTCTTTCTCAGACAGCAGACACCAGGTCTCCTTAATGCTTTGTGCTTTGTCCTAAGTCATCCAGTTGACACGCGGCAGATACAGTACTACAGTTCTCGGTTGGTGGTGACAAATATCACTGCGCATGGGCTTTCAGGCAGCAATCATTTCTAATCATTTGGGGGGTGGGGAAGGATGGGAGTGTACAAACTCTTCTAATTTAGTTGCATCACTGCAGACTCAAAAAGTGTTTAGAAAGTAAATGCCTTTGTCCCTCCCTCTAATGGGTGGCACCACCAAAGACTGAGCCTGCCAAACCAGAAATCCCATGAATCAACCTAGATGACTCTTCTTCCCTCAACCCTCACATCCCATCAATTTCCAGGGCCTGCATGAGCCACCTTCTTTCCAACCACTTAGTTTAGGCCTTCAGCGTCTCTGTTAATTTCCCATTACTGTCACAACAAAATTACCACCAATATAAGGTTTTAAAACACAAATTTATTATTTTACAGTACTGTAGGTCAGAAGTCCAGTGTGGGTCTCAACAGGATAAAATCAAAGTGCACCTCCAGAGCTGAGTTCCCTTCTGTAGGCTCTAAGGGAGGGTCCCCTTTCCCCTGCTCAGTTGGGTTATTGGCAGCATTCACTTCCTTGTGGCCGTAGGACTGAGATTCTCACTTTGTTGGCTGAGGTCCATTTCCAACTTCTAGAGGCCACCCAGTCCTTGGCTTCTGAACTAGGTCCAGCTCCTCTCATATTTCGAATCTCTCCGACACACTCTTTCACTTTACAGAACTCACATGATTAGATTAGACTCACTCAAATAATCCAGGATAGGCTCCCCATCTCATTGTCTTTATACTTAAGCACATCTGCAAAGTGTTCCAGGGATTAGGGAGTGGACATCCTTCCCGGATTCATTATTCTGCCTACCACAGTATCCCAACCTGTCAGATTTCAGTAACTTCATAAGCAAGTTTCCTGGCTCTGGCATTCTCTTTGCTGTTTTCAGATTAACCTTTCTGGAACAATTGACATGTCCCCCATGATTAAAATCCTTCTGGCTTTCTACTAAGCAAGGGTCAAATTAATGCTCGTTAGCTCCTATAGCTATAGAAAAAAAAGCACTTGGATTTAAATGGTCCTCTTTTGTTTTTTTAGCTTCATTCCAATCTACACTTTTCCCCCAACCCTTCTGAATGCTTGAAAAATGTTCACTGTGCCCATTTCTCCACCTGTAGCTGCTCCTGAACTCCTATTCCTTCTTCCAAACCCAGTTCAGACATCACCTCCTTGCGGAAGGTCTTCCTGACACTCCCCTCCCCATAGCTATAACCACAGGACAGTGTTCTTTTCTGAACACCGCTGAACCTTGTGCATATTCTTATTTGGGGCATTAAACACAAATGTGTTGTCATTTTCTGGTCTACTTCACCTATAAAGTATTTAATTACCTGTCTCCCAGCCATACTGTGCCACTTCCTAAATGTGTAACTTTGGGCAGGCTATTTTAATTCACTATGCCCCCCTTTCCCTTTGTAAAATTAAGGTGGGTAGCTATAGGATCTACATTATAGGCTGTTGTGAGGCTTAGAACGGTGGCCGGCACCTACTAAGTTTTGCTAGTATTATTAACAGCCCTCTGCACAGAGCCACCGTACAGTAGGTGTTTAATGGATGTTTGCGGTATGGATGGATTCATCGTGCTCCCATGAAGGTCAGGACCTTCATGAACCGCTACCCCGGATCCGGGCTCCTCCGCAGAAGGAAGGCACATCTTCTGTCCCATCCGGGGGCGAGGTAGCCTTTGCCCCCACAGCCAGGAGCAGTCACAGTGAAGTCCGCGGAAGTGGCTGAGACCAGACCGGCCTCCCAGGAGCCAATGAGCCTTTAACTGCAAGAGGAAGCCCTGCAATCTCCACGAATGGCAACCACGAATCATGAGTGCGTCAGACGTCGCCGGGTAGACTTGAGGCCAGAAGCTGAAAGGGGGCGGGGGAGAAGGTAAGAGCAAATGGGATTTAGGGGCTTAAATAATTCTAATCAATAGTAATGACAACACTCGGTGACAGTCATGCGTACCTGTTTCGTGCCAGGCACGGTAAACATGCATGAGCTCATTCAACACACTATGAGGCTGGTATCTCATTTTTGCGACTGAAGAAACCGAGGCGCGAACTTGTCCCTCAAGCCAGTCCCGACCGCTCGCGTCCAAAGGTCCCTCCTTCCAGTCCGGATCCAGCTCCCAGGCCGCTGCCCAGCTCCGCTCCGCCTTCCTCGGAGCACCTGCCGCGCCAACCTGGCGTCAGGCTCGGTTCGCCCAGTCCAGGATATCTGGCTCCTCCTCCCCGACCCTGACCTTCTAGGTCCCTCTGCTAGCCCCGCCGCTCTTCCTCACCCGCGCCTTCTTCGCCTCTCGGCTCCTCTTCCTGCCCGCTCTGCGCCGGGACTCCTAGCTCCTCCTCTCAGCTCCGCCCCCGACCTTCTTGCTCCTCTTGGCCCGCCCCCGGTAATCTAGCTCCTCCCACATCCCCGCCCCCGGCTCCTCCTACCTGGCCCGCTCTGCCCCCAGCTTCCAGGCTCCTCCTCCCAGCTTCGCCCCCGACCGTCTAGCCCCGCCTGCATCCCCGCCCCTGGCCCCTCCTCCTCGACCGGTTCTGTCTCCACCCTCCTAGCTCCTCCTCTCGGCTCCGCCTCTGGACTCCTAGCTCCTCGTGGCCCCGCCCCCGACCCGCTAGCTCCTCCTCCTGTCCCCGCCCCGGCGTCCTCGAGCCTCCCGTAGCCCCGCCCCTGGCTCCCTCTCTCCCGCCCAGCCGCGGCCGCTCCGCACCTCCCTCTGCCGGGTCCGCCCCGCCCCCGGCCCCTGGCTCCTTTTCTCCCGCCGGCTCTGGCCCGCGCTCTGCTGATCGGTCCGCGGAAGCCCGCGAGCGTTCGAGCCTAGGGAACTCCGCGCCGTCAGATCACCAGGTTCGCCTCTGTGTCCCGGCGCCGCCGCGCCCTCTCTTCCGAGTAAGTGCCTTCCGGCGCGCGGGTCTCGCACACAACCTCTCGGGGCTTCCCCGGCCGCTGGGCAGCCGGCCGCTCCTGGGGGCGCGCTTTCCGCTCCCCCGCCAGACTTTCGGGAGCGAGTGGGTGTGAGTGGGTGCATGTGAGCGAGTGTGTGGAAGTGTGTGTGCAGGCGCGTACAGCCCCGGAAACTCCCCGAAGTTTTACCCAGTTTCTGCGTCGCGGCGACTGTCTTAGACCTCCGGCTAGCAGCCCCTACCTACTTGGGCCGACCCTTTCCTTCACTTCCACGTCTTCCTCTGAGCCCCACTCGCGATTCCTTCCTTCTCTGCGTAGACGCGGCCCCCGCTATGTGTCACGCCGCCTGTTAACAGCTCATGCTGTCCAAAGGATTGCCCGGGTTATCACAATGCCCCAGATTGCAGACCGAGATGCTAGCCTGAGATTGTAATCTAGCCCTGCATTGTCAAACGGGCACACTAGAGTTTTCGCCTTGAGATCGTTCGGTGGAGACTGCCTATGAAGAAGAAAATTTTGTGTGTGTGTGTGTCCTTGTGCGCGCTCGTGTGACACTCGAGCCTTAAGCACCTGATGAAGGAACACCTGATGCGCCTTGGGACCCAGGGAGGCTAATAGGCATGTTCAAGACGAGGCTGACCAACCAAACTTTGACACCTAAAGGATGTTTATTGATTCAGTGACACGGTAATGCTAAAGCCAACTGATTTCCTAAAACCCAGCAGTAGTTAGAGCAGTACCCTGGGGGATGATGGAAGGAAGGGGACAGTAGTTGAGAGCCCAGCCTTGCAACAACAAAATCCTTGAGTTACTTAAGACTGATAATTCCATCCCTCTGTAAATTCTTTCATGGGGGGCGGGGTGCTCAACACTATCTCAATGTAGAGTACATTTCTGCATTTAAAAAAAGGTTAATTGATAGCGTTAATTGGTTTATTGCATTTAAAAAAAGGTTAATTGATAGTACTTGAATCCATCCATAAAATGATTCCCTGGGTTGCTGAGGAGGTTCCATCCACTTCTAATAGTCTCTGAATTCTCCTGTATCTCATTTTATTCTTGCTATGTTCTTACTGTGAAAGTAGAGATCCCCATAAAATTTCCCCGCTTCCTAGATAAGAATTCATTTATCCAAATTTTTCATTGAGATGTAAGGTTGGCAGAAAGCTATGTGGCTAAAGGAAATCACCAGAACAGAGCAGGCTTTACGTTGCCATTGTACGTTGGCATATGAAAGCAAGAGCTGATAAATCACTTTAAGTGCTGCTTATCACAGCAGATATTTTTATCCTGGTTTCAATCCTGTGTTACACAAAAGTGTTTCCACAGTGTTTTAACTAAGGAAACATTATGCTGTGAAATGTAAACATATGACTCCATCTCTCTTAAAGGAAAGAAATAATTATCACACTTAATTAAACACCTGGAAACATTTATTGCCACCTTCTAATTAGATCTGTCATGGGGAGTTAAGTCAGCAAGTTATTGCTAATTTTCTACCTGGTAACACAATTAGCTTTTTTGTAGATTTTGTGGATGGCTGTGCCCCTCGGTACACATTAATTGCCTCCCCCCACCCCTGGCCCACCTTTTCAGTTTCTACCTGTTATTTGAGTAAATAGTTTCAGGAAGTGGATACCACCTACCTCCCTGTAAAATGTGAATGCTTTAGATACTGACTGTTTTGTATTCATAAGCCATTATATTCATCTAGATTATCAGATAATTTAAGAATCATGGAGAAATCACTGCATCTGAGGAGAGTCCCCCCAAAGCGTAGTGATTCTGCACAAAGTGAGCCCCGAAATTTTGTTCTTTAAGGGAACAAAATCTTCTTGTGCCTTTTGGTCTCGTGTGCTTAAATTCACTGAGAAATGGGGTGGCATGAGCTGGAAAATCTCATCTTCGTTGTCCCTTAATTTTCCGTTTCTGACTATATTGCCAGATAACAGTGTTCGTCTTCGTAGCGAGGTGTTGTGGGCACAGCCCGCTGTGGGTTCCCAACAGAATGGCCCAGAAACTGAGGGTGAGCGCGCCCCCGCCAGAAGAGCGTTTTATGAGACCTATTCTCTGCAGTTCTTCGTTCTGTTGAAATTGGAGGAAAGGGTGTGTGGGGAGAAATGATTGCATCCAAACAGCACTCATTAGGAAATGCCATGCGGGAGGAGGGGTGGATTTCTAGATGGTTTCTGGCTTGGGGAATTTCAGCTACTTGCTCCTTGCCATTCCCCATCCCCATCCCCTCCATGTTTGCACACATTGAAGGGATGGAACATGGGGGAACGTTCGGGAGGCAGGGGAGGATCAGTGATAACGAGTGAGGGCCACCTGTTTTCTCACAGAGATGAAAGGCAGCCTTAGTGGGCCCTGGGGCCGTGCACAGGGGCCCAACCTGGGTTAAAAAAAAAAAAAAAGTGGACCCTTGATCCCCTATTGGCATTCTCAGTGAGGTCAGCTCGGAGACAGAAGTTGACGGATTCCGGCACTGTGTGTAGGGCTGGATTAACTTTTATCACCTCGCCCCTCCTCACACTGCCCACATCCTGCATTTAATACCAAATGCACACAGTAAGAACTCAACAAACGCTAAAAAGGAGCTTTTAACACCCAACCTTTATGTTTCCCTGTGGGTAACAGTTTACTTTCCTCTCTCCTGTCCCTGGTTTTGATGACTCTGGCCCTGTAGTCTGAGTTGACTGCAGTTTCTAGACTTTTGTCTGCAAGTGGTGCTTGCCAACAGCTGAAAATGGATGATTCTTTGAGGGGAAAAAAAAAATAATTCAGCGAACCTTGTTGCAAAACATAAATGAGGTCAAATAGTATCCAGTGGACGTTAGTTTGCATGCGTCATGACATTTCTGAGTAAGTGGAGGAAATGAGCTACAAGTGGAGGATAGATAATTCTAGAAACAAGAGGCATCCAGGCACGTGCGAAACCATCTGGCCTACGAGTCTAAGACCAGAACGTCTATACAAATCTGGGGGTGTATCCCTCGTCCAGCTTGCCGGCGGGGAGCACCGTTCATTCACACAGCAGGCATTGATAGAGCTCCTCCTGTGTGCACGGCACTGAACAACCCTCTCATGTTCACAGGAGGGCTGGCAACTTGCTGGAAAATGTGGGTAAGAATGGGCCCCCGCAGGGAAGTTGATGGTGGCAAAAGTGGGTTTAGAATTCTTCTGTTTCACAAAGGGAAGTAAAGGCACTTCCTTAGGATAGAAGAACCATTTTCAAAATACTTCTATCTCAAAATGATAAGAAACTGAAATAAGCACATCTCTTCTGATGTCCGTTTCAGATAGCCAGGGGTGTAATTGTAATTAGCTTGATTCCTAGGACTTTGTTTCCTTGGCCTTTCTGGTGGAGCAGAGAAGTTACCTGAGAAACTTGTTTTAGTACGTCACAGGCTCTTCAGTAATCAAGTAATGCCCACTCATCCTTTTTGAGAGCCGTTGCTTTTTCTCTAGAGGCAAGTATGGTTCAGGACCAAGGTAGTGGATGTTCAGAAGCAGCTGCAAAGCTGGATGGGCATCTACAAGTTTATTGAGGGTGTGCTTTTATATCTAGAACAAGAGAGGTGATAGACCGACATGGGGATGTTTCTCTCGACGTGACTGGGGGCCAGGCATACAGTGATCTGCCCCACCAAAAAGGGAAAAAAAAAAAATGGATGAGAGAACACAGGAATGGGCCTCTGCTTAAGCACCCCAAGCTGACTTATAAACAAATCGAGGTTTGTTTCTTTAATAACAGAGAATGGAATTAAATCCAAAATTCCACTTGTAGTTTCGGTAAACATTGGGAATAAGGATGACTTCTCGTCTAGTCACAACGTGGTTGGTTCACATGACTCTGCAGGATTCAGCTGTTGAGGTCTCAGCCGCACTTGGCTGTGTGACTTGGACAATCCACTCAAGCTCTCTGAGCCTCTTTCTCCAGCTCAAAACTGGGGATAGTATTTACATCATGGGTTTTGTGATGTGGACTAAAGCAGAAGGTCCCTCTCCTGGTGTCTAGTATGCAGAAGGCACCCAGCAAAGGGTGGGCTTTTCTGGATTGGCCAAGTTGGGCTCATTTCAAGAGGATGGTGTTTGTACTGGGTCAGAGCGGAGGGGAGAAGAAGAGTGATAACTTGTACCACATGTGTTTTTAGCGTAAACTTTCTTTTTTTCCCTGTAATAATGCCAGAGGAGCCCAGAGAATGGGGGTGAATATAGCCCAATTTCAATGATTCCCAGCTGCAGGGTCATGTGATTATGGAGGGACATCTTGCTTCTGCTGCTGAAGAGAAATGAGCCAGAGCAGGGCATCTGGGCTTTATATATCTGAGCATGAGAAGAGCCACAGCATCCTGGGAGCCTCCCTGGGCATGACGGAGGCTTTTCTCTTCCTGCCTTCCTGCCTTTTCTTCCTTCCTTTCCTTCCTTCCTTCCTTCCTTCCTTCCTTCCTTCCTTCCTTCCTTCCTTCCTTCCTTCCTTCCTTCCTTCCTTCTTTTTAGAGAGAGAGAATGCAGGAGGGGCAAGGGACTGGGCAGAGGGAGAGGGAGGGAGAGAATCTTAGGCAGGCTCCACGCCCAGCTTGGAGCCCAACTAGGGGTCTCGATCTCATGACCCTGAGATCATGACCTGAGCCGAAATCAAGAGTTGGACGCTCAACCGACTGAGCCACCCAGGTGCCCCAAGAGGGAAGCTTTTACAAAAAACCTGTTACAGTTAAGATGTGAGTAGTCGGTTGGCCTTTCACCTCTAGAGGCCCTTGTTTAAAACAGGTGTTGGATGACACCCCATTATCTAAGACTGACAGGCAGGTATGTGTCAGCTGTCCTCGATGTCCCAAAGGGACCCAGGCTGGCACGTCCTCAGGGAAGTTGTGAGATTTCCAGAGAGCAGGAATGCATCTTCACGGTTGTCCTCTGGGTCAGGGTCTGCTGGGCACACTTCTCTCTCTCTGTGCAGGGCATGCAGTACCCTCATGTATATTTGA